CCCCAAAACCCCAAAACCCCAAAACCCCAAAACCCCAAAACCCCATTTCTCTCTGTCCTTGTTGATGTTTAGTATGATAATCAATGATCCCTAAAACATTTCATAAATTACCTTATAATCAAAAGAAAAATATAGCAAATAGAGAGCAATGGTAGGTCTTATGCTGGTTTTGGGTGTTCCAACCCATTTTGATACCTGAAAAATTCTTCTAAATGAATGCCAGGATGCTGTCTAACTGACTTCTAATCTAGGACGAGAACAAGAACACCAATAGTATCGCGATCGATCAGAAGCCGAATCAAGAGCTTCTGAAGGAGCCCAAAATATCAAAGTAAGTGTATTTTTGAGGTTCAAAACCTAAGATCTCTTGCCTTTAATGTTCAATAAGATGTTCATCGCTGAAAAGTTTTGCCAAGAGTTTCTTGTGCTCGCAAGCCAACTTTTAAGCTAACTTTTTATGTTTTAGTGGAGAAGGTGCCTCCAATGATGCTGAACTACAGAAGCCAATTCAGAAGGAGACCACCTGAAGTAATTTTGAGAGCAGACCTCAAACAAGACAGCTCAAAGAGGCTGGATCGAGCACATTCAGCACAGATGTAGTCATAAAGGATGTAAAGACAATGGCACCTAAAGACTGTTCTCAGGCTCAAGTTAATAATTTCAAACCGGCTAATGAAACTAAGGATGGTGGTGAGATCCCAGTCATTCCTATTAAAGAGGGCAAAGAAGGCAGCTCTGATGGATGAGATACACAAAATCTCTCTAAAAACACTACTTTAGATAAGACCCCGAGCTATGATGATGGTTGCCCCCAAGTGAGGGAAAGTTTTCTGAAGAATTCCACTAAAGCCCAGTCACAAAATTTACCTAATGGTAAAAGTGTTGAAATCTCAGTAGAAGAGCCCAAGAGTGAGGGCAATTCGCCCCTCAAAGATGCTAGTCATGAGAAAAAGCTCACCAGCCCATCGAGGGAGGAAGAAAAGGCAAAGAGAAGCTGAATTGAACCTAATTACACTGTAGAAGAGAGTAAATCCTCTGTGATAGAGAAGAACTTCGAGGATTCTAATAAAGATGTCTCCCAGATACCATTGAGAAGAATTTCTAAGGAAAAGGCAGAGGAAATTTGTCTTGGATGGATCAATGGCTTGAATTCTATGGAAGCTAAAACAGATATACCATGTGAGAAAGACTGTTCTGGTAAAGAAATGCCAGAGTATTGCTCTAACAGAATTTGACCAATATCCATTGAGAAAATCCAAAAGACCACAAAAGTCATGAAGAAACTAAAGAAAGTGAAAATGAGAAAAGTAAACTTGAAAAATGAGTACACAAACGAAGAGAGGTGGTATTGCTTAAAATGCATCAAAGCTCACAATGAATCTCTATACTGTTTCTACTGCTGTCAAATCTACTTCAGCGAGGAAGAAGGATTAGAGGATGAAGAAAAGATTTGGATTTGCTGTGATAAATGTGACAGATGGGTAAGTGCATTTGTTTTCTTTCACACATCTAATATTTCTTCTTTAGATCCACTTAGAATGAGATATAAAGACAGGAAATAACACCAAATTGAAAGAACAAGACTATAAGGCAAAGAGTTTTAAGTACTCATGTCCTGAATGCAGGCCAAGCTCTGTTAAGAAGAATACTACTAAGAAAGAGCAGAGAAAGGCTACCAAGAAGAGCCTTCCCACAAAGTCTGAGAGAACCAAAAAGATTAGAGCTGGAGAGAGCCAAGGAAAAGACCAAATGTAAGTGCGGCTAAGTCTTTTGCAATTAGGTAGTCTAGAAGTCTAGTAATCTCTTTTAATCAAAAGCTATCTTATCTGTTTAGTTAGAATATTCTTGCTTTTCCAGATCTGTATATTCTTCTTTGTGATTATTATCCAGAACCAGCACTCAAAGCTGTGAGAGTTTAGTGAGGCAGAATGGATTATTCCAAACAAATCTGCTTATTCGTTTATTGAAATTACAGCTTTTACTAATATTTTGTAATTTCTTGCTTTTGCATGAGATTTAAATAAGTCTGATCTAATTAGGTCTAAAAATTGTACAATAAGGCGGATGAATATGCTTATTCTGGAAGCTTAGTGATTTTAATATTGTACTGGGTTAATATGTATCGCATTTATCATATCTTCCTTTACATGTCTTTATTGAATAAAAGGCGATATCCAGGAACTCCTGAGATTAGGAGCCAATTTATCGGCTATGAGATCTCTATGAAGATGTTTCCTACCTTCTCGTGTATAAATCCAGCAGGATCTCATCTTGAATTTAGCTCAGAGATTAACTCTCAACAGAATAGACTTCAGAACTCGAAAAGCTCTGGCTTTGAAAATGAAATGAAAATGGAAGAGAGTCAGGATCACAACATGGGGGTAGAAGACTCTTATACATATCAGGACGAAGAGAGTAAGAATGATCAACTTGAGATAAACCACAAGGGCTATTCTGTAGCGTCTAATGACTCTAGAAGAGTCAATAAATCTAGGAAAGCAAAGAAATCTAAGAACTCTAGAGAAAAGATGGCTAGGAATAGAGGAAAGCTCAAGAGATCTCATGAGGAGTACAGCCAGATGGACTATCAGAGTGGTATGGAGGCTATAAAAGAGTTGACTAGGTACAGAAGTCTCAAGATCGCTAAAGAAAGAGAGGACATAGTTGATCCCAGAAGTCTGGCTCCCAAAGTTCTTCAGTTTTGAGGTATCACACCTAACATGATCATGGAAAGAGTTGATAGAGACTTAGAACTCATTAAACAGCAGCTACAAGAGGACATTCAGAATGGACACAACATTACAACTGCAGTACTCAATGAGTTGTCAGAGAGCGAAGTGATATTCAACAGTCCTGAGAAGGAACTCGAAAGAGCAAGCTACCGAGCTAACTCATCGATGAGGTTAGCAAATAGCAGCTTTGGAGGAGTCACAACAGAGAACGGTTATGGAAAAGCTTTGAGACCTAGAAGAAGTAGAGTCTCTAGGAACAGACACCAATAATTCAGACTAATCCAGAGCCTGGATGCCTTCCTAGTGGGAAGGTAGCGGGGGCCCTATTGGCAAAGAAAGTAATTCAGATAATAAATTTATTAAAATAAATAGTGAAATTTAAATCACGATTCTACGATGAGTATTTGATGTGGGGTTTTGGGGTTTTGGGGTTTTGGGGTTTTGGGG